GGTTTCTCCACTGGTCTTTCCGTAGCTGCAAGTCGGCTGGGCAGCACACGTTTCGGTCCACGGACCAGTAGCTGAGGGACAAGGTCCCGGGCAAATAAATTCATCTCGAGAGGGCCTGGGAGAGCTGGCGCGGGGAAACGCGAGCTTTTGTTTTTATGACAGCCGGGTTGCGAGCCTCTAATCAGCCTGGGGATTTATCTCCTGGCCTGTCAGCGTGTGTGCTTAAACTTTGCGGACTTCCCAGCCTTCAAAGTCTCAACACGAGAGCAGCGGCCAGGCAAGAGCCCCTAAACAACCAATTTGCCTGAAAGGTGTGCAGAAGGCAACAGGAAGTTTGCTTTGCGAAAAGACACACTTTGGGGGTCTATTTGAAATATTTTCCATTCACTTCTTCCTCGAAAATCTAGAGCCCAGCCCTGTGGCCCTTTGGGGTTGGGGTGGAGGCCGGTGGGATTGAGAAAAGGGAGAGAGGTGGAGGAGGAGAGTGTTTATGACCCCCACTTAGATGCTTTGTTGTTGTTTTAGCTATATTTTCTCCTTAAGAAATATAAACCTCTAGATGGTACCCAGTCACTGCTATTAAGTTTTAGTGTTATTGCCATAAATCAAAATAACTCTGTTTACTGGGGGAGGGGTGGGCTGGAGATGTAGGAGCTGTGATAGCCAATTTTCTGCAAACTAGGAAAGGGTGCTCATTCTTCTTGTGTCTTTGCAGATGATTCAAGCCATACAAGTATTAAGGTTTCATCTGTTGGAATTAGAAAAGGTAATTTCTTTGGCCTCTTTTCCCTTTATTTCACCCTTACCCCTAAACACAGGAGGAGAGGGTTCAGAATGGCTGAACTTCAGGCTTCTGAGATATTTGCATAAATGTCTTTCTTTCTGGTAATTAGTGTCAAGGCCAATCTTAGCATCCATTTCTCTTCTCAGTTTAATTACAATTTCAGCCACTAAAACCCGGATCACAAACGCCCTAGCCTTGTGTTCATTCTTAATACCTTGAGGGCTTTGCGTAAATAGTTGCAATTGTATGCTTCCTAGTTGGTGTTTAGAATGCTGTTGTGACTTTGCTTCCCAGGTTAATGCCTCTCTTGTCTTTTCTCTTCCTCTTCTTCTTTGAGGAGGGGAAGAAAAGTTTTGTTTAGTTTTAGTGAGTTTCTGGAAGACAGTTCGAGTGCAGCGGCAGGTCAGAGAAGAGGTGGAGGGGGAGGAGGAGGAGTGGGCAAGAAGACCAGAGGAGGTGCTTGGGGGAGGCACATTAAACCTTTTGCAGAGACAAAGCAGGGTTGATAATTGTGGCAATTTCTTGAATCTGTCAATCCTGCACACACTCCACCTTCACACTCAAGAAAGGGTGTGGAATAACGTGATTTTGCTAGCTGTTCTATAAATCTCAGCCATAAAAACTTAATGCATTGTAATTCAAACTAACATTAAATTGCAAGCATGCTGAGGTTTCTTGTGAATTTCTGTATGTCAGTGATGCCTGGGCCCTGGAAGTGAGCACTTCACTTATGCCTTAATATTTTCAGTCCTTTTCTTTTGGAAAACAATGAATTTGATAATCTTTTGTGGTCATAGGTTTTTCATTATATGGTACTGGCAAATTGATTTCCTTTTTTTTTTAAGGATCCTAAAATATTGCCCTTATGGATAGAAACCCGAATTATTATAAACATTATAGGGATTGGGTTGTCAGGCATATATCCTGTGTCGCCACAGTACAGGTCCTTCAGAGATTATACATATGTATATGTATATATGTATACATATACATATATATATATATTCACCGTTTTTCCTTAGACACTTTGGAAAAGGATTTATGATAAAGTAACTGGATGAAATTAAATAGTTTACCTTAAATATCACCCCCACAGGTCACCTCTCTAATGGCCACAGCCCCAGGAGCAGATGAATTTAACACGGGTGTTGAATATGTTGTAGCCTGTGAATCATCTTGTCACTGTCAATTTTCTGGGATATCTCTATTTTGCAAGAAAAGAAAGTTATTCCTAATTCTGGATGCGTCTGGGGGTCTCTGGAGGACAATTGCCCTGTGTTTCCCCTATTTGGAAGTTTGGATCTCACAAGGGGGGTGGATTGCACTTGTCAATGTCATTTATGCACTCCTGATTATATTTCCATTTTTTTATTTCTGTCATAATGTAGGTACACGAATTATGTGACAATTTCTGCCACCGGTATATTAGCTGTTTGAAAGGGAAAATGCCTATCGATTTGGTGATAGACGATAGAGAAGGAGGATCAAAATCAGACAGTGAAGATATAACAAGATCAGCAAATCTAACCGACCAGGTATGCACTTTTCAATTTCAACATCCCTGGCAAAAAAAAAAAAAAAAAAAAAATCTGTATGCATATTGCTTGCTGGGTCACTACCACCTCCTTTTATTATTTGCATATGATTAAGTCCCTTTTAGATACATTTCCATCGAAATGAAAATTTTTGAATAATGTGGCTATTATTGCTTCATTAAGGCTGGCTCTGGGATTCGACCTGGAGAGATGAGCTTGTAAAAGCTTTGCCTGCAAACTTGACCTGTTTCTTGTCGCTTTTAATTTTTGTCTTTATTTTATTTACCCTCTATAATAATGGGAGTGTTAACTGCCAGTTACCGCCTGTGATTGTACGGCTTTGTTCATGAGCATTTTCTTCCTTCTCTCTTGAAGAAAAGAAAAGTGTAGGGTCTGCTTATTTCTTATTTTATGAGGAATAAATCCAAGATAGGTGGTCTAAAAGAGACAGTGAGGGCCTGAAATCTAGCAAATGCTGGCTATTTTCTCCCTGTCTATACGGTTCATTAGCCTGTCTTGTCAGTTTTCCTCGGCCGAACGCTTCTAGACCTCACTGAACATTGCTTTGTGTGGTGTTCACTGCAAGCTCGCCCATTTTATTGTACTTAATAGAAAAAATAAGACCAGGCCGAGGTTAGAAAAACAGATAAATATGGACTTTTCCCCTTCTGTCTACTCATCCTCCAGCTGGTAGGTGCTCTGGACCCTCTGGGCTGGCAGCTTTCGGAAGTGTTAGCCTGTGGGACACCCTGGCAGCTCCCTGGGTGTGGAGGGTGGGGCTCCCAGTGCCGTCTTTGCTCTCTACTTCAACCCTTTGCTGGGCACCCCCTCCTCTGGTGTCCACACTCCAGGCCCTTCTGCTGCTGTGTTGAAGAGTGGGGACGACTTTTATTTGGAATCGCTGTGGGGAGGAGGGTGGTTCTTGCCCTCTGTCACCCTGACACCACCGTTTGCTCCTAGTTTCTCTATTTCTCTTGCACTATCACTAGATTGGTCCAAATGAGTTGCAAAAATGCGATGAAAGTGAAAATGTGAGGAGTGAGTGAGATGAAACAGGGCCCAAGACAGCTTTGTTACGAATTTTTATAAGGAGCCTAGAGGTTTTGGTAGCTGCCTCTTCTACCTCCCTCTCCATATAAGTGAAATCCCCATTTATTTCTCTCTTGGACTTGGCACGCAAATCCCTTCTTGGGGGGAGAGATCAGCATGTCTTTGTTAAGCAAAAGGCGAGCAACTGGGACAGTTTTCCTTTGGAAACTCTGCCTTGATCATTGTCGGCTGGCCGCTGTCTTGGGTAGCTTAGCTCCATGCCTTGCCTTCTTTGTCATCTTAAGGTGTCTACTCTCAACATCATGCCCTTAAAATAAATGTCCAGCTTGAATTTCTCTGGGCCACCCTGTGACCCTGGCTGAATTCCTCCTTGTCCATGAGGAATGACGCAGAGCTTAAAAGCACTAGGGGGATACTCACTATTATTTGGTTAGTTGGAAACTTTTGGCAGTGTAGACACTGTACGGAATGGTCAGTTATACAATCGCGGGCGGCTGTGTCTAGGTGGGAAAACAGAGGTGGCTCTATGTCCTGCTCCTATAGACTCCCAGGATTCCCCAGCCTTTCCTTTAGCCACCCCTCGACTTCGAGTTGTTAAATGCAGATTCTGAAGAAGAACCCCTTTGGTAGCTGCTGTTGAATAAAAATTGTAATCCAACAAGCCTAACTAGAAAATGGGATTCTAAAAACTCCGAAGTGCTGGGTACATAAAGCTATTTGAGCAAATTACAAGAATAGCTTAGGGGCACGAATGAAATCAACACTTTAATTGCCTCCAAAATGAAGATTTATACCCCATTTTCTCAAAGAATCATTATTTTATTAAAGTCAAAGATAAAGGATCAAAGTTATTGGATTTATTGGAGGGGGTTACAAAATTGATGCAACATCATTGAGTTCTCCCCCTGTTCCTCTTGCAAACTTTACTTTCCCAGTCACCTTAATTTAAGATATGCAAAGATTGGCGTGCAATTGTATTGGGTGAAAATTCCCATTTTATTCTCTTCAACCTACGAGAGTCATACACCCTGTCCCCGCTGTTTAAGGGTCAGCTTCTTAGCTTCGGCTGGGCTTGTGCTGCTGTTGGCCTTCTCGGTGGGCTCGCCCCTGTGACCCCTTGGGCTCACCCTGGCCTCGATTGGTCCTGCAGTAGCAAACCCAAGTTTGTTTCTTCTGTGTTCCTGTTCTTAGTAGTCTGGAGCTAGTGGGTCTGGGCTGGATTTGGAGGGGGTAACGCAGAATGCGGGGTTTCTGTGGTCCTGGGCCTCACGCGCCGGTGAGCTCCCTACCCTTGGGGCGGTGGCCAGGGAGAGGAGGTGCCAGGGCTGCTGGAGCCCAGGTCGGGTCTCCAGGGGCACCGAAACCCCGGAGCGTGGGCCCTGTGGCCAGGCCGATAGATGGCTCCCTACCAGTCAGCGAAGGCAGCCCCACCAGTTTGAACCTGGCAGAGCGTGCTCCGGGACTGGGTGCTTCAGAGTGGTGTGAACGCTGGGCCTCTTTAGCTCATTAGCCCCCATCTCTAGGGCCCACTGGCTTGAGGTCTAGTTTATCTTACTTTTCGTCCTCGGAGGGCACAAAAGCTGCCACCTGCGCCGGGATCTGGGGTCCAGGACTTGGACGCTAGTCGGTTTCCGGGGGGCTGAATGGGCAGAAATTCACTTGGCCGGTGGTGTTGTTAGTTTGGGTATTTTGTATGTGTGTGTATCAGATTAACCCGTTAGTAGAAACCCTTGGCCCCTTTCTGTGCCTCGCCACCCTCCAGTCTTGGGGGGCGGCCTGACTATACCAGGGCCCGACAGCCACCTTGGGCAGTCGCTGGCCTCCTGGGCGCCCTCTCCCGTCCGCTGCGCTCCGGTCTGTGCTCTCTATTGATGGCTAGGTGCTGGAGGCCGGCGGCCGGGCACCCGCTTACCCCCTCGAGCATGCAGGGCTGGGTTCGGCCCTGGAGTGGCCCGATAGGCTTCGAGGACACGGTCTGGTATGGTTGGCAGCCGGCAAAATGCGTGTCGGAGCGGGAGGCAGAGCGCGTGACGGGCAGTGGAAATGAGGGCGCCCAGAAGGTGTATACAGGACACCCAGATGCTAGACGGGAAGGCAGTCCCCCAAGTTCCCCAGGCCGGAAGGCTCCTTCCTTCCCAAGATTCTAGCTTTCCGCTCTTTGCATCTGAGCATTTTCAACTCTGCAAAGAGAAGCGGTAGGGAGAGTGGAGAGAGGGACAAAGTGCGGAGAGTGTCCCCAAGGTCGCCTTCCGGTGTGGCCACAGCTGTCCATAGCAAGTAGAGATGAACTGGGCTTGTGATCAGCATCAGCAGCCGCCCCGATCCTGCCTGCAAGGAGACGGAAGTGGAGAAATGGTCCCTTTGGATTACAGTTTTTATTCAACAACCGCTCTCCGGGGGGTCCTCGTCTGAACCTGCATTTACCAGCTCCTGGGAGAGGGCTGACGGCTGTGCGGCGCGCCCGCCTCGTTGCTTGCTAATCCAGATTTGTGCCTGGTGTCTGAGGAGAAGCAACCTGGCGCGGAGATGGGAGGAAAGTCGAG